AACAGTGCCAGAATGACAGTCCTAAAATAAAAACTATCTAGTTATATCCAGAAGAATCATCAGGCAAAGACCTTAGCCTATCATTCTTGCTTGAGTTGAGGGTTATCCTTAGGGGCAGTAAAGCATTTCCCCCAAATAATGAGATGATTAGCTAAGTGCCAAATACTATACTGGAGTTACGTTTTATGTTTATGTTTAAGTTTCTGGTTTTATTTGCTTGTTGGTTTATAGAAAGTCCTAAGCACTCAAAACTAACTCAGATCATTGTTTCCACCTTATAAAACCATAGATGATCACAAGCAACAGACTCTTGCTAACCTTATCAGATACCTTTGAAATAATAGTGTAAAAAATACAGGCGCGGTCCCCCAGCTCACAGCTTCCCTGAGTTCTCAGACTGTTCTAGTGCAGCAGAATAGAGAAGGTAACACAGGCAGGGTTAACAGGTTATGTAAGAATCACAAACACAAAGGTAGGTAACAGGGTAGTAGTTCTACCAGCTCTTTGAAGCAGGTTCAGTTTAACTAGTCACTTTTGATGAATCTGTAATCTGCTCCCACTCTGACAAGAATGATAAACACCGTCTAGTAGATTCTGAAAGTGCCTGTCAATATTACTGGAAATAGTACACTGTGGTACATTGGTTCCAAGGATGGCTCCAAACACATCTCCCTCCTTGCAGATCTCTTGCAATGTGATTTTGCTACTCCACTTGTCAGAAGGTAGAATTTTTCTCCCCCCATTGAGTCTGGCTGGCCTTAGGACATACTTTAACCCATAGAATTTGGCAGAAGTAATGACATGTGGCTTCTGAAGCTAAGCTTTTTGACATCTTATAGCTTCTGCTTTTATGCTTTGGGATGCTGCTTCTTGGATTGTCACCTCGAGATTGCCATGCTATGTGAAAGTCCAAGCTAAATTGTGGAAATGCTGTGTATAGCAAAGGCAAGTTGAGAAGCCCAGCCAAGCCTAGTTCCCAGATGATCTACTTATGAGCTAAAAGCACAGGAACCATCTTATTAACCCACAGGATCAAAAGAAATAATAAATCATTGTTTTAAGCCACAAAGTACTGGGAATGTTCATTATACCACAATAGATAATTGAAAAACACCCTAACACAATACTTGATAGAGTAGTTAGGGGGAAAAAAGAGCATTTGTAAAGCTAACAGCTTTACTGACTTTGTTGGTTATGGTGTATAGGTTAATGACTTCTGTGTGGTACGGGCTTTTCCTGTGTAAGCAAGAGGACAATCACAGCTTCCAGTTTTGTTTTTTTCGTGGCATTGACTTCCATGCTCACAAGGCCCACTCTGGTCCCCAGAGGCCAGCAGGGCAGGCTCGTGAAATAAAAATAGAGACAAAGAAAGGAGTTAAGGCTTATAATGAATCTCAAGATGCTCTCCAATTTCTTCTGTCACCTCAGTGTGTGTGCGTGCGTGTGCGTGTGCAAGCACGTGTGGTGTGTGTGAGTGTATCTGTGTGTGACTGAGCTGTAAGGAAAACCACAGTCGAGTAGTCTCCATGGAATTACAGTGCTTCTGAAAACATTCCCTGAGGAAATCAACACGATGCCAAACCTTGTCACTTTGGAAACACAGAGACAGAGGTGGCTTTTTGCTGAAAATGTGGTTTTTCAGAAAGTAACAATGGAAGCAATTTTGATGTATATCTTTGGAGGCAGTTGCACAGAACAAAACTGAAAAATGAGATGTCATTTGTAAAGGAAGCTTAGGACGTGCAGAGCTCGGGAAGTTGTCCCCAGATGGTTGCCTGAATCCTGTCCCAGTCTTTGTTTCTTTTGTAAGGCAGAATCATCACCCCAGAGGTTTATAATTTGTGCACTTTATCAGAATGTGCAATGCATGAAGTGGGGGAAGAGAGCATGTGGTGCTTTGTTGATCGCCCTCTGAACTGGAAAGGATGGCAGGTGCTGCGAGGCCCGATGCCGGCTCAGTTAGCGGTTCTCCTGCCTGTCCCACCACTGAAACCGCTGTAGTGAGAGACCTGGTGGAAAGCATTCTTCGAGCACAAGGAAAGCCTGGGAACTTTCCTAAACATATGACAATTGTGGAAAGTTGCATCAATCTAAGCTGGGCTGTGAAGTATCTTCTCATCCTGGGAGGAATCTCTGTAGCACAGAATTACAACATTTTCTGGGATGTTCCTACCATTCCGGCTATTATCAGTTGATCAATACTCAGTGCCAAGCACTTTACATAAATTAGTTCACATTTCCATAAATACCGCTATGTGATATAAACAGCTTTATCTCCTTTTTACATAAGAAACTGAAGCTCATAGGGGTAAAGTGACTTACTTTGGGTCATCCAGCTAATAAGTAGCAAAATTAGGGTTTGAACCCAGATTTTCTGGCCTTTGGAACTGAAACTCAGCCCCCACACCCACCTTGGCCACAATACTAGGTCCTTAGCACCTCTCAAGTAAATTCATTTGCTTTCAGAGACCCACCGGAGCTCAAGATTTGAAATCCATCCAACAAAAATCTGTCCTCCTAATGGGGACACAAGGCTTGACTCCTTAGATGGACTCAGTGGGCTCTGTGGACCAGAGTCCTCTGTGGTTAGAGATCTGCCTGCAGTTAAGGTCTGAAATACCACAGGCTACAAACTAATCAAAATAATGAAAAGACACTGGCTGTCTTTTTCTCCCCCTCTCTCTTTCGCTCTTTCGCAGATTCACGTAGAAACTAGCTCTTCTACTCTTACAAGTCATTGCTGATGGGCTAAATAAAGCCTGGTGCTGATTGTGGAGAGCACTGTTCATTAGCACCATTGAAACAATTTGCGGTCTTTAATTAACTATTCATCGGCAATCTAGACACAGGTCTAGAGTTAAGATTTTTAAAGATATGTCTGGTTCCAGGAGCACTTGGGCTACTTCACTCTTTTAAAAAAGATAAAGAACAACAACAGGGCTGATTTTCATCATGCACAACTCTTCGAGAGCTCTTTTTGCCTTGATTTCAGCTGCCAATCATGGCGATCCCATTCACCCGCTCCAGTCTGATTTATAATTTCATTTTGTGGTTAGACAAAAATATCAAAATTGGACAAAGTTATCTGATTGAAAAATAATATGTTTTCCAGAGATTATGGTGACCTCTCTATTTTGCTAATTTACATATACTTTCAACTCATTTTCCTTCACAGTGGGAATCTCAGAAGCATTTTCCAATATAGTATATTCAGCAGCTGCTTTAAGAAAATGTTATCAGAATAAATTAAATCTACCCAGGTGTGTGTGTATGGTATTGTCTCCTCATGCATTGACTTCCAGGGCATGACTTCTTTAGTGGGTTATTGAACAAAGGGCTGATTCTATGTCTGAAAATCAGTTAAAAGAGGAAGAGTTTTGCAGATTGGCATGGGGCCTACTCTTAGATGATGTTAAACACATTTGTGTTATGTCAGGCTTCTGTTTTCCTAAGTTCTTTTCCTCTTTGCCTAGAAAGTCACAATCCAGCTATATAGTCCTTTCTCTACAAAATCTAGGTGGGACATTGTTACTTATGTACTCCAGTTCATTATTAGCCACAGGACAACCTGTTAAGACACTTATTCCCATTCTGTCAGCTCCAGAAAAGTCCTGAAGACAGTCTGAACTTAACAATGCGAGGAACAACATGTAATACTTGAAGGCAAAAGACAACCTTCAATCCCAGGGCCTGTCTCTGTAAGTGGACCCAGTGGTATGACCACTTCCTTTCTCATCTCTTCACTCCTCCCGATCAAAAAAAAAAAAAAAAAAAAAAAGACTGTCCTTTGGATTACTTCAAAACCAGAGTTCACTTGCCCTTTAGTTTTGACAATTTTATTTGTTATCTATTCAGTCTTGCTATGTATGAAAGAAAAAACAATGCTGTGATAATTTCCTCTGACTAAAATAGTAACAAGTGCTTAATTCAGAATACATAAGAGAGATGTATACATGTTATGTTTATACAAAGCATGAGAAAATTTATAAAGAATAAAAACAGAACCATGCACTTTTATGTATTCATTTAAGGAAATACTTATTGAGCAAACTCCTGTATGTCAGGATTGCACTAGGAGTTTGGGAATACTTTGGTGAACAAAATGGGCAGACAAACTTCCCGTGTGGGAATGAGCTTCCGGCAGGAAGGAGAGGCAATAAATATGAGACAGAATAATAATTGTAATATGTTATACTAATAAAAAGATTAGCATGCTAGAAGATGACTTGAAAAAATTGTAAAGTTCAAGGAGTTTCACAACTTGCAATTTTAAGTAAGACAGAACTGAAAAGATTCAGTGAAAAAATGACATAAAACTTAGTGAAAAAGTGAGAGAGCCATCTAGGTAGATATCTTGGGAGAAGCATTCCATGAGTCTGCAAACCAGGGACAGCTATTACTAGCATCTCAGAATGCTTTTTCCCAAATTTTATATGCATGTACATACACACATATCTATATATGTTACTTATAATTGGAATTATGCTGTACATAAACTTTAATATCCATGGATTTGTTAAAAAATACTTATGCAATACTTAGGGATTTGATAAAAGATGACACTGATAACCCTAATTAAATTTTCCAAAACTTTTTTATGGTCAGAATCTTTGAATTGGATTTGTCTAAATGATCTACCTTCAGGTATAAAGAAAACAATTCTTTAAATCTGGAAGCCAGCAGTACCTTTGGTTGATTACTTCAGCTCAAAGAGGTGATTGGCCAGCTTTAATCTTCTTAAGATAAGATTCTCTTGCAATGTGAACTTTTTTCTCTTGCTCAAGCTAGCCACAAGACGCCTAACAGCAGAGGCTGAGAAGACAAGGTTAAATAATTTCATCGCCATGTGTCTCAGTTTCCTCACCTGCAAAGAGGGGATTAGTAAAGCTTATCCGTCTCCTGAAGACACCAGTGGGTTAACTAATTAATGATCATATGGTGCTGAACAAAGGCTGAACATTGTTATTAGAGAAGAAAGAAAATTTATCATCAGATTGTACCTTTCTGGCATCTGTTGCCTTGGTAACCAGATTTGCAGGTGCAACTGCCATTTTTGGCACTGCTTTCCAAGGTGTTCTCCTCCATGCACTGACATTCTGAAGAGCGGCCAGCTCCACAGACCCCTTTGGGACAGTCTGTAAGCAGATTGAGGCAAACCGGTCACCTGAGAACCATGCTTTGTTTCTCTTACATTGTCAGTGTACAGGCATGTAGCTCTGTGGGGCCTGATTATGGGGAAAACAAGGGGATCATCCTGACTGCCACAAAGAAAGAAAGACAGAAAGAAAGAAAAGAAAGAAAAAGAAAGATGTCTTTCAAATCAGGTAATTCATTTGCTTTTTGGCAACTGGATATGAACAGTGAAGCCTGAACTACTTAAAAGGCTTTGGTGCTTCTGAGAGAGAAATTGCTTCTCAATGTGCTCCGTTGGTGCCTATAGTTAATATTCTCCAAAGACTGTTAAGTTCTGTCAGGCCCTATATTCCTCGTGCCACCACAAGGCAATGGACAAGCACTGATGGAAAGGCTTAACTTGTTTCCATTCCCTTTCATGATGTGGTAATCGGAATGAATTTTACATCATGTAGATTACACACAACTTTCATCAGGACAGCAGCATATTCTTAGCTACATTTTTGGCAAATAGCGCTTGCCTTTCCTTCATTATTTTCTCCATGCTGTTGAGTCTTAGGGATGATAGTCAGTACAGAAATTCTATTTTGAAGAAGTTCCACCTTGCATTTAGGAAAACATACCCTTAGTTCTATCTTTGAGGAATTATTTACTGTCATTCTATTCATTTTCCAAAACCTGTCATGTTTTTTCCTCCCCATTACAAATGACCGAGGGACTTTCAAGATCCTTCAAGCAGCTTCTAAGCTCAAGGTAATTGCCCTGTATGCCTGGAGAGGCTTTGTTGTCAAAAGCTGACCAAATAAGCCACTTGACTTTCTGCTGAATGGAAATTATTAGCATCTGCTAATATCTGCTATTATTAGCAGAGATAATTTAAAGTAGTGGTTACAATGCTACCATGTAGCTGATCCTTATCCCAGTTGCCAGGGACAGAGTTATCCTTAAAGAAGAACAGGTTTATTAACAGGACCCCTTTTCACTGTTCAATAATATTGTCCCATCTAGAGGATAAATTATGAGATCCGTCTCTCATCCTTTCTGTGGCTATTGAGTCCTTTCCCAGATCAACAAAGCCCCCAGCAACGTCTCAGAGCTTTCCTCTTCCTTGATAAGCCTCTTGCTCATTCCAGAGCACTCCCTTCCCTGGATTGGCTTCCATGTCTTACTTTTCCTGGTTCTGCCTGTAGAACAGTGGTTCAAGGAACAACTCAGGCATGATAGAATGCAGAAATATGACAATTGGGTATATTAAGAAGATGTAACTGTGAAAATGTACAGAGGAAAAAAGGAAAAGCGGAAGAAGTAATGTCTTTTGCCAATCCAATGTCTACTCAAGGTTCATTATGTACTGAGATGTGTCCTCCAAAACTCATATGTTGAAGTCTTTACACTTAGTACCTCAGAATGTGACTTTACTTAGAAATTGTGTCTTTGCCAATTCAATGAGTTATGATGATATCAGACTGGAATGGGTTAGGTCTGATATCTGATCTGATATAACTGGTGTCCTTAAAAATAGGTGAAATTTGGGCACAGAGATACAAGCACAGGGCAAATGTCATGCGAAGATTAAAGTTGAATGATCACAGCCAAGGAACTATGGGAAGCTTGGAGAGTCCCAGAACTGATCATTCCCTAGAATCTTCAAAGGGATCATGGCCTGCCAACACCTTGATGGCTGACTAGAAGATCCAGAAGTGTGAGGCAATGAATTTCTGTTGTTTAAGGCACTCACTTTGTGGTACTTTGTTACAACAAGTCTAGAAAACTAATACAGGGCTGCAAACTCTAGCTTCTGGTGGCCAGGTAAGTGGCATTAACCAATGAAGCTATGAGTCCAAGGAATAAGAATCCTGAAGAACTGGAGTGTGTATTTTTTTTAAAGGTGGTCACACTCAAAATGGCAACCGCCCTCACTATCACCACCACCTGCTCTTTGACTAGGATGAATTATGATCTTAAAGGTTTTGCCGAAAACTCTGATTTTACCTTATAAACTATTTACAAATTATTACCAAAAATGGGGTGTGCCTTGTTACCCAAGAAGAACAATCATAGAAATGATGCTATCTTTGTTTCTGGGTAAGTTTTCTTCTCCTGGCATGTTCTAGGTGGTATATTCTGGAACATACCATCTACACCCACATTGTTCACATTTACCATGCCTTTTCCCCTTCCCTTCTGTTTTGCTTATTCAAGCCTAACCTTTCCTCATGACCGAGGTTCGGTTTTCTATGATGCCTTCACTGGCTCCCTTACTGGAGTATTCACAATTACTCTCTGTTTTCAAGAGGCACGCCTTTTATAAAGTAGATCAGATCCATGGATATTCAACTAAAAATACAATATAAGACTCGAAAAGGTCTGTGTTATTAAAAAACAGGCCATGGTATTACTGATGTTCAAAGAGGAAGGATTCCCAGAGGAAGGTGTGGGAAACAGGCAGAGGAACAGGGTAGAGATTTCTTGTAGGCTCACAGTTCCTTGCACACAGCTTCAAGATGGGGCTGTGGGCTTCCAACGCTGATCCAGTGGGAAAAATCCTAAAAGCTACTGATGGGCTGAAGTATTTAGTGGTGATTGCATTTTCTCATATATTTTGCAAAATGTGATTAATGGTCAGAATGCAAAATGAATAGCCTGTTTTAGAAATTTTGGGGAATGATATTGCTTTGCATTACAACACAGAAATAAAAGAAGCTAGCCCTGGGCCTTTGATATTCAACTCTTGTAAAGTGTCATTTAAATGAACTAGTGAAATCCTCTTAAGGTAAATAACTAGATTCAGGAGTAGTTTTCTGTCATTCATCAAAATCTAGATTCTATAATGTCAGGAGGCTAAATAAAGACTAGAACTAAACCATCATATATATGACTATATAAAATGCTATGTTTTTTTTTACCCTCTTTCTCTAACATATTTTGAGTGCTTTTTGAGCCTTCTCACTTCATGTACAGAGAAAATTATTTTTTTAAAGACTTAATTTATTTGACAGAGAGAGACAGAGAGAGACAGAGAGAGAGACAGCACAACCAGGGGGAGCAACAGGCAAAGAGAGAGAGAAGCAGGCTCTCTGCTGAGCAGGGAGCCTTACGGGGGTCTCAATCCCAGGACCCTGGGATCATGACCTAAGCTGAAGGCAGACACTTAACTGATTGAACCACCCAGGCACCCCATCATGTACGATGTAGAGAGCAAATTATTGCCCAGGACTTATTCAATCGACAACCCCTCCCATAGCACAACGGCTCTTACAGACATGCACTACACACTCTGTGGCAATGGCCATTGTTAGTGTTGTTATGTTTCCTTCTGCAGTTCTTCCCAAATAATTCTTCTGGGGGTTTCCAGAGGGTCGGAAAGACACACAAAGCAAATATGAACCTGTATGCAAAACTTGTGAGAACTGTTGTTATATATGAAATGAGGAGATTGTAAAAGGTAAGATGTTTCCAATGTAATTGGACTGAAGCTAGAGAAATCCTTTTAAAAAACAAAGGTACAATTCCATATCTTCTGTCTAAAATTCTACAATGACTTGCCATTCCTGTCAGATTAAAATCTCCAGACTTAACAAGACCTCCAGGCTGCTGCACCAGCTGACCTCCTGAGGCATGAACATCTCCCTGGCTGACTTTTCTCCACCAGCTGACCTTCTGCAGGTTCCTCAGGTCAACCTCACTCTTTCCCACTTCAGAGTCCAACTAGAGGAGGCCCTCTCAGTGTAGAATGCTCTTCCTTCGCTCTTCCCCTGTCTCATGTCTCCTCCTTTCTCTGCTTCTGCTTAAACGTTACTTCTCCAGAAGTTGCTCCCTGGCTCACACAGTCTGCCTTTTCCTCCCAGTCTGACCTCCAAGCACACATTAATATTTAATTAGTAGTACCTACCAACATTTGTAACTTATATCTGCTCTGGATAGGACAGTAAGTTCCACATGGAAAGACCAGGGTCTTCTTTATTTTTCATCTATTTTGTTACCATACCATACTGCCTGGCACACTGCCTTGCTACCATTTTGTGTGTATCTTTTGAATAAGTGAATAAACATTGTTCAGGGGGATGAATAACTGGGATGTCAACAGGAGACTTCCTACATCTCTCAGAGAGGGAAGTAAACTTGGTTTCCATGTCCGCAGTTCTGTGATCTGTGAGAATCCAATAAACTCCCCAGGATTTCTGGCAGTCCCCCGAGACTTTTATCTTCATTCACTCTCTGCATTCAGCTCTTGGGCTTGTACAAGCAGTTTCTTTTTTGTGCTCTATCTGCTTATGCTGAAAATGTGGCCTTTTTCACTGGTTTCCATGTAAAATCCACACACAGCACTCATAGGCATTTTGTGAGTTTTTCATCCATCATTTCTCCTGTCTTTCCCTCTCTCCCTCCTCTCCTTTGCTTCTCTGATTTTCATCTCTCTTCCTCCGTGGTTTGCCAAAGCTCCATCTTTTCTTCCTTCTATTATGCAGAGCACATAAGTTCCCCCTAGGTCTTATGTCCAAACATGGACTCAACTTTTTGCTCAACAGAACAAAAAGGCTTTCTCTGTATCAAGATTTATCATACTTCAATACACATGTCATCAGTCAAAGCAACTGTACTCTTGTATACATAGACACCTTTTTTCTTCTTTAGAAAAGGCTACTTTAAAAAGTATGGATGTAATTTTCTTTTTTTTTTTATTTATTGGAGAGAGAGAATGATAGAGAGAGCATGAGATGGGGGAGGGTCAAAGGGAGAAGTAGACTCCCTGATGAGCAGGGAGCCTGATGCTGGACTCGATCCTGGGACTCCAGGGTCATGACCTGAGCTGAAGGCTGTTGCCCAACAAAGCGAGCCACCCAGGCACTCTGTAATTTTCATTTAAATATTTTATTTATTTATTTGAAAGAGAAAGAGTGAGTGAGTTGGGGAAGGGGCAGAGGGAGAGAAGCCTCAAGCAGACTGCCTGCTGAGTGGGGAGCCCAACAAGGGGCTTGACCCCATGACCCATGAGATCATGACCTGAGCCAGAATGGAGTCGACCTTCAACCGACTGAGCCACCCAGTCACCCCTAGATGTAATTTTCATTTAATTTCCTATTAAGAACTTGAAGAACGTAAGGAGTTATGTCACATGACCAGCAGCAGTCACTTCCTATTATTTTCCCAGGAACTAACTCCTGGGGGTAGGGGGACTGGCACTGCCCAGAGAATCACAGCTGCCTTCATTCTGACAATCACAGATGCTGCCACATGCTTTCCTGTGGGTCTCTGGGGAAAAGGCTAAGAAGAATGTAGAGAAAGAGAACAAGCAGTGTAATATACTCATGTACAAATGGAGAAAGAAAAATTTGTCTTTCTATTAGAATGGAGACCAGGTAATTAAAATCTCTGTGTTCTGCAGACCCAGATAGAGTCACCAGCATGCTTCTATCTTGGATGATTATAATCATTCCTGTGGGTGGCGGGGGCGGTGGTGGTGGGGGATTATTGATGCAGCTAGTTAAAATGATGGTCACTGAAAAACCAATAAGTGTTGGGTCCCTAATCAAATGAGTGAGACTGATACAAAGCGAAGGTCAAGCAAACTTTATTTCGCGCCAAGCATCGAGAATCAAACCGACTGTTCAGGGCCACCTCTTACAAAGAGAGTGATCCCTCCCTGCCTTACAGACCAACTTTTATAGAGCAAAGGCCATGTGGTTGGGCCTGGCCACACGCAGGTGGCCAATGAGATTGTAACACACAGAGAAAGCTGCACAGTCATGCTAGGTCACACACGGGTGGCCAGTTGAATTACAATTCACCTCATAGTAGCTATTTGAACTAACCGATTACCTTGGTCAGAATTGGCACCCAAAAGGCACCCAAAAGGTGGGGCCCACACTCCTTGGTAGCTAGGGAGACAGTATGCGCCCCCACTGATTGGATGTCTCCACCTGGCCTGACTCATCCCTGCATCTGGGGTCTGTTATCTTTACCTGACCTGACCCACCCTTGTATTTGGGCTGTTACCTCTACCTGACCTGACCCACCCTTGTATTTGGGCTCTGTTATCTGGGACTGGTCGGCCATATTTTACTGGTTTCCTGGACTTGCTTTTAAGTAGGTTCCCCTGGGTGGGGGGCAGGGACAGTTTAAGTTTTACTGTATAAACGACAAAATCACTGTTTAACCAGATGGAATTGCTCTGGCTAAATAGGCCCTTACACAAGGTTCTCATGCAAAATTTACATTGTTCCTTAAACTCAAATGCTCACATTGTCACAGCTACTTAAACATCTTTGTTGTGTAACTATTGCAAACCCTAATGAGGAACAAATGGCACCTTCTATTTTGAAAAATGGGAAGAAAATGTAGAAAAAAAAATGCCATATATTTTTAACTAGGAATGAATGCAGCTAAGACTGTGTTAAATGTCCCAAGGTATTTTGCATTGTCAAAGATTAATGAAGTCAAGCAAACAACTGTTTTTTTTTTGTTTTGGTTTGTTGGTTCTTTAGAAGTGTTTAGTATTACATTTAAAAATAAACTGTGGGAGCGCGGGGGGGGGGGGCCGCGGCGCCTGGGCGTCTCAGTCATTAAGCGTTTGCCTCCAGCTGAGGTCATGGTCCCAGAGTCACAAAATCGAGCCCCATGTCGGGCTTTCTGCTTGGCCGGGAGACTGCCTCTCCCTCTCCTGGTTACCCTACTTGTGTCTCTCTCGCACTGCCTCTCTCTGTCAAATAAATAAATAAAATCTTTAAAAAATAAAAAAAATTCTAAAAATAAATTGAAAAAAATGTGACTTTAAGTTTAACTTGAATAAATACAGCTGTTGAGATGATTTTAGTAACCATTTTAATTGGCATTTTATCATAATTGGCTGATTATTATAAAACTGCATTTATATCGCCTCCTCTATCTAACCACCTACACCATCCCAGATACTAATAGGGAAACTTGGCTTCTTTTTGACTTTTTTCTTTTCTGTTAAACCTGAAGATACCATGCAAAGGAGAAGGAAAGGAAAAAGTAAAACAAAGGGCTAAGAAAGAAAGAAACTGGCAACATTGGTGGAAATCTACATTGTTAATTTATATGTAGTAAGTTTTTTGCATTCTTACAGCAAGATTTTTCAAAGCTAAAGAAGAGGTCATCTTATGTTCATTTCAGCAAGTTGATTTTCAATATTTCTATGTTAATTTTGTATCAGAGATGTTTTATTCCGATATATTTGAGAGAGATTTTTAGTTTCATTTCCCATGCTGCCATGTTAGAAATCAAGGGTTTGGAAAATGCATATTTACCAACGAAACTGACATAAGGGAAGTTATTTAGTTCCAAACAGTCATACAACCACATTTATTTGATCCCAGTCGTATATATAGTTGAGTATGTCAAGTGACAGGTCAAAATAGCTGGGTGTCTCAACACTAAGTTTAATTCATTTGTCTATTCCTGCCCCGGGTGCCTTCACTTCAGGGAAACATGAATAGGCCCTGGTCACAGAGTGATCAGTCTAGTAAGGGAGACGGAACAGGAGATAGCTAACTCGAATTCAATGTAGAGAGAGAGACAGTGGCTTGAAACCCGCCAAAAACATAAGTTGTGGGGCTAGACCGGAGCGTCAAACAAGGCTTCATGCAACAAGCAACAATAGACAAAATGGCGGTTCCGCAAAAGGCAGGAAGGTGTAAAGCCTTAAGCACTGAGCAGTTTAGTTTGCTGGAAATGATAAGCTGAGCAGAAAGCTGTGATTAGGATAAAAAGAGAAAAAGTTTATGAGGGTCTGATTGTAGATGGTCGCCCGTGCTAGGTTAGAAGTGTGTGCTTATGTATCAGGAAATGCGTCCCCTTTGAAATTTTTTGAGCAGCACTGAAACACGATCAGAGAGAGGCTTACGGAAGATCCTCAACACCCTCGCTAGTAATTTTGGTAAACGACTTCGCTGTGTCCTGACTCAAGTTTCGGCTCTATCTCAGAAACAGTATTCATCATCTTTCTTCCCATATGCAAGGGGTTCAAAAGAAAATCTGCTCATAGCCTCTTCCAAGCTAATCACAAAAACTAAGAAAACATTTTTATTTAAAAAAAAATGTATAAGGTAAATTTAAAAAGAGAAAGAGGAAACAGTCAATATATTTTGATTTCAATACTTGGCAGTTTTCTTTCCAGCAAGTGTACCTCCATTTAAAATGTAAAGGGAATGGTTAGTTCAAGGTATCATTTTTCAAATCTTTGATATTTTCTCATGAGAGACATAAAAAGCTTAAAAGTGTCATTGGCTTATATTAACACATTTTGTAAAGAAAAGGAAAAGAAAACAAAAACACAGACAAAAAGCAGCTGTCAAGCAGTTCCATTAATTGCACTTTGTAACATAAACTCTTTTTTTCTTCATTGGGAATAGCTTGCCAGGGGCTAATGATTTATTTAAATGGAGGGATTTTTATAGGCCTAGCATATTAGGATCCTTTATTAACTTCTATGTTCCAGGGATAAACAAGAGACAGCACATCAAGTTTCCCAGGTAACACAAAATCTCCCCATTTAATCACATGTTTAAAACCTTAGCGTTTCATAAGCATTCTTTATGCACAACACATAAATTGGTTTCTCACCATATCAATTGCTTACCTTGTTAAAACATTTTAGGGAGAACACGTATAAAGGAGAACGCATCACAGTAATTTACCAGTACTAAAGATCTCATTACCCTTTTACCAATTCTCCAGAGTATGACTTACTCTCATTGCAAAGATTATCTATCTATCTCCCCAGCCATCTGGGCAAGAGCACTCACTCCTTCCTTCCTGGCATCTGCCCCCATTCATAAGGTCCTCACCGCTCACACTGCAATTGTGTCTGAAGGTGTGATTTTCACCGACAGAACTATGATACCGTCTTAGTTGGCCCATACTGTCTACATCAATGAAAATGCAAATGAAACCCCTCATTTTTCAAAAAAATCCCCCCAAAAAAACAAAAAAGAAAAGAAAAAGATCCTTGGGTGTATTTCCTAAACAGTCTCAGAAAAAGACAACAGCAAAGCAATAGCAATCATATCTTTTAAAAAAGAGCTTAGAATACAGATCCTAAACAATATTTAGAAGGTTTAAAAGAGTGAAAAGGTAAAAAGAAATTACCATTGATTCCTGAACACAAAAGTAATTAGTGTTTCCAGCACTTTGGTACTTTTCCTTCCAGGCTTGTACCATATACATATATATATGTACGTATATATGTATATATGTATATATGTATGTGTGTGTATATATATATATATATATATATATATATATATATATATATATATATATAAATGTTTTATTTATTTGAGAGGGAGAGAGGGAGAAAGGGAGAGAGCATGAGCGCTGGGGAGGAGCAGAGAGAGAGGGAGAAGCAGACTCCCGGCTAAGCAGGGAGCCCAACATGGGGCTCAATCCTGGGACCCCAAGATTATGACCTGAGCCAAAGTCAGAAACTTAACCGACTGAGCCACCCCGGCACCCCTCTTGCAGGGTTTTTTTAAATGCCAAGTTATTTTTTCTTCAAGTAAACCTTTTTTATTGAAATTTAATATGCATGCAAACAAGTGCATAAAACTCAAGTGTACACTCCATACTTTTTTCTCCACGATGTAAATAACCCCTTGTAAATGGCACCCAGGTCAAGATACAGATTATTACCAACATTACAAAAACTCAAGGGTGATCTGATGACTTCTTAATCATTAGCCTCACAAACTGAGCACTATCTTGATTTCTATCACCACAGATTATTTTTTTCTTATTTTTGAACTTTATATAAATGAACTTTATATAAAGCCATCTTTGGTATCAAACTTCTTTCATTCAGTAGGAATTTTGTGAAACTTGTCCACATTGTGTGCATGCTAGTTTATTTCTTAATGTCTGTGTAGTTTTCTATTGTATAAATGTACTATAATGTGATTTTCCTTTCTATTCTTCAGGGAAATTACTTTAATTTGAATGGAGAGATTTGATTTCAATTATTTTAAGGAACTTTCCATTTCAAGTTTTGCTCCTGTTTCTAGGTGGGTCTTTCAGACTTCCTAATGGAAAGCCTGTCACATTTAGCAAGGTCTCTATTCTGTTTCTCTTCTGACTTTGAGTAGCTAAAGAATCAGGATTTTTAATTAAGAAATGACATAGCATTTCCATTTTTATGCAGACACATTTGTTGATATTATTCTTGATAATTATAATTATTATTATGGACTGACCATAGCATAAAATTGTCTGCCATTTTAACCAGCTCTTTCTAGAGCAATCGTCCAGCTTTGATAGTGTTAAAATACCACAAATAGAGGGAGAACAAAAAGAGCAGTTCTGTTTTACAAAGAAAAGAAAAAAGAGGCAGCAGACGGCTGCAAACTGTTACTTTTGAGAGAGGGTATGCTAATTTATTTTGATCAGAAGTGATTTGATGCTTCAGTTCTGTTGCGTGGATGTATAAGAGAAACTGCTCCCATTTTTAAAGATATTTTTCTTGGTCCACTTCAGCATAATGAACAATTGCTTCTTGGCATTTTAATATGTAGAAAGAATCTAGATTTTAAGGCTATTTGAGGTAAATTTCAACTACATAATAGTGACTTCTAGTGGAGTTTTAATAGTTAGAAGAAGAACTACAAGGTCCCAATCCAATCTTTTCCCTGTTATGCTAATTTAAAGATAGTATCCAGCTCTATTTCACTGTATACATTTTAACAGCCCCCCGCACCCTGCACCCCCACTTCTACAAATACTTACATAGCAACCTTTATTGTGCAAAAGGAAGACAAGTATAAGATGGTGAATTTGATAGGAAGCAGTGAAGAAGTAACTTTGGCTCCACTTTTTTTGTTAACATGTTAAAGCATCCAATGATATTAAATATCAATAGTGAAATTGCCTATAAGAGAATTTATGAGAATTACTTAAAAATAAAGAGGTGAGTATAATGAAATAAAATCTTTAACTCACCAGTTTTGCTCAAAGCAGTCAGTTCTCCTCAAATACATGTTTCCTCCCACTCCTTATCTTCTTCGTCTTCATGGGTGGGAGGCAGAGAGGTGGAGACATCATGAAGCCATTGAGGTGGGCTCTTGAATAGAAGGACTGGAAACCTTACAACTTCTAATTCTTCTTCTTCTTCCAGCTCACCATCATCTAAGGCTAAGGGCACACAGAAAAATGCCTGAATTCACCATCCTGGTTAAAAGAAGGAAAAACGGAGCAGGGGTTGATGAGAGAAATGAGAGAGTTTGAACCAGACAGCCAGGGCAGGGGGTGACTGGAAGGTACAAGTCTTTGTATATGCAGGTGAGAAGCAGCAAGCACGAAGTTGAAACCGCAGCAGATTGAACAAAGGGAAAAAGAGGAGCTCAGTCTGTGCAGACAGAAAGGGGAGGTCAGGTTGAATTAAGGGTATGTGGTCTCCATTGTTCTCCAAGAACAAGATGAGGGTTGAAGTAGTTTAGAAGAGATAACAACAAAATTCTTCACAGCGACTTACACATGCAAGTTTTTCCATCACTTCCAATTCTGCAGCTTTCTCCGTAGGGATAGTCCTATGCCCCCACTGAGTTCATAGACAGCTGGTCACAGACTATGCTGACATGCAGACACTCAACCACATCTAGGAAAATTTAAACAATGCCAGTTTTTAGGTGTTGAGAGATAAAATAGACATTATAAACTCATGGGCATACTTGTATTCCCCTTGTCACCTTTATTAGTCAATAACATGGTTTTGCCAAATAGAAGACATTGTCCCCAAATTCTTCATCAATTATACCCTGCCAATTATTTTTCTTCCACTCATTTCCAAGTTTAATATAGTTCATCTACATAGACAAGTTCTTCCTGAAAACTTGATTGCAAGATTTTGATGAAGAATTTACAACTTAAGAGAAAGTCAATGGTCTGAGTGTATCACTTTAGAGAATGTTCATCACTTTTGAGTTATTCAGTATCTATGGTGAAGCATTTATTTCGTGTGTAATTCTGTACAAGGCTTGTAGAGAATTTTAAGATGGAAGAACCCCAGTCCTTGATCTCATTTGACTCACTGATGATTTGTGTCCATATCTGAACCCAGACTTTGGTCAATGTGTTAATGATACTAAAATATCATTTACCAAGCTGAGTTTCTAAGTTTTGCTTAAGATTTTGGATACCTTTTCCATTTGGATATGTGTACCCAAGTATGTACATTCACGCCATACAATCATCTCTTGGCTCACTGTACTTAAAAGCAGATGGTACGTGAAATTCAATTTTTTTTTGGCCCCGTTAATTGGATGGAATGTGGTAAATGGTAATATACTCTACTGTGTTTAGAATATATAGTTTTGTATTCTTTGCTGTTATCTACATTGCAAGGCTGGGGAGCTTGGCTATCTATATGAAGAAACATATCTATCATTCTCAACAGAATGCAGTAATTTGTTTCTTTAAGCAAAGAAATACTATTCTCTCTGAGGCATTAAAACCTTCATACATAATTTTATTGTTATTGAAATGGATATCAATTCTCTAACCTTTACTTTTATTTAAAAAAACTTGGTTCAAAATAATGGGAATAATGATCATAAATGAAATTAAAAGGTTGTGTATTTAAGATAAACTTTAAGAAATAAATCAGAGCAATGACTTACATGAACCATTCTTAATAGTATAAAAAAGGAGACTTGATACTACTCACTGAATTTCCCATGATATTTATATATCATATATATCATATATTATCATATATCATACATATCATACATCATATATCACACATACATACACATATCATACATATCATCATATATCATACACATACATCTAAATCACACATATATATGATTAAGAAATCATCTGAAAAGTAAGTGAACCACTTTTAACAAATAAGTTAGAAGATTATAAAATGATTCATCTTAAAACTTACATTAGCTAGATTACTATCAGATATGTAAAGGATTCCAGTATGGATTTAGACTGTGGCTCATGAATTGGCAATCCTTTTACTATGACTCCTTAATTAAAATGACTTTCAGGAACCAACTTTAATTCCAGTGAAGTTTGCCCTGAGTGATTCCTATGGCAGTGTGCTATGGCTTGCCCAAATCTCTCACTTGTCTATATACATTAAATTAGGTAAAAGGGATTATAGGCCAATGAATATTATGATAATAATAACTACTTTTAGTGGAGTGATTTCTTGATGTCAATCACCATACTAGGCACTTTACATTTATTACTTTACTTGATTTACCCACTAATCCTATTATTGTCTTCACTTTACTGATGGGGACCTGAGGCTCAGACCAGTTAGGGTCACCCAAGTTCACACAATAGTAAATGGCAGAACCACATAAAATCCAAGTGCCTTTAGCGTCAGAATCTTCCCTTTCCTCCCCTAACCCTTGGCCTCAGATAGTCTTCTTGCATGGATTGGCCCATCACATAATGATTTCATGTTAGATCTCAGGAATTTACCATCACATCTGCCACCATCAGAACTGATAAAGCGCTCCTGACATCGACATTTATAGTGTCCTAAATAGTTGATGCAGAGTTGGGTACAGCAGGCTTCTCCACGCTCACATTCATCGGGGTCTGCAGAGAACAAGGACATTTCTGTTATTTAAGAGATAGGAGTTGAACCAACCAAGAGAAGTGCCCATAAACCTCACTTTCAAGTTACAACTGTTCTACTAATCATTTTCTGTTTCTCAGGCTACGCAGTACAAACATCAAAGGAACTATAACACAAAAAGATTGAGGCCCACATTTGGATTTATGTTTCTTGCATGCTTCTCCTATGCTTGTTGTTTATTTTTTTAAAATATGTAAATAATCTCCAAATGCATTTATAAGCACAGGAAAAGAGGTATCTGCTATTTTCCCAGTTTAAAAAGCAATCTGACTGAATCAACAGAGAACCTGAAGAACAACAACAACAAAAACAACTTTAGAAGAGCCAAAAAATTCCATTTAGTGAGCATTTCATAGCTGCAAAGAGGAGGTAGTCTTAGCCTTCATAACGTGTTAGCTCTTCTAGAACTTCAGAAGAAAGAGCATTCCCAAGCAAAAGGAATCCATGAGATTGGCAAGAGAAGGGGTAACTGCAATTCAGACAGAAGGCAGAAAATAACTGTAAATATCATATTTTAAATGACAGAATATTTCAGGGCATTTGCTTGAACTCTTTGATAATGCTTTGACTAGATGGAGTCTGGGGATTTTTATCATCACCAGTGACACCATTACCCTGGCATGTCCTATCAGATAAACAATTTTCTAAGTGATGGTCTTTAAGTCTCCTTTGACACCACTATTCTAGAATTCTACAATCCTGAATGTTGTTTCCTAAGACATAATTGCCTGGAGGAAAATAAACATGTACCAGAAGATGTCAAACTGAAAGCTTACAGCTACAAAATAATTTTGTGGTGATCATTTCTAACATAATTGGCTAAGGAGTAGGGACAGACTCTTTGCCCCCTTTTTCCTTAGGTAGACGTTTGGGGTTGTATGGTCAGGATTTTGGGCTATCCTTGGTTCAGTTTGACTCCCTCTGTTTGTTGAGCTGTTAAATTGAGTAGCCTGCAGCCCTGACTTTACTAAATTTCACTGTCTGTAACTACATGAACAGCCACAGATATTAAAGTTCAGTGTCTCAATTAACCTTGGAAAGGGTACCAGTGTAAGAAATGCAGATAAGAAAAAAGAGAGAGAGAAAAATGCAATCAATCAGCCAAGGTGAAGGGTCACCATAAAATATCTAAATGAGGGTCATTTGGACATAAAACACTCTTCCTCCTGCCAAACGTCATAAGTAGTGCTGCTCACAAAATTCTAGATGATATTTTTGCCTTTTTTAAAATAGTAAACCTTCCTTTGTCCTTTGATTAAGGAGCATGGATATAGGGAACCAAAACTTTTTTTAAAAACTCAGTTTCATTTCATCTAAAACATTGTCCTTTAAGGTTTTTATTTTGTTTTTGTTTTTTTTTCAATTTCAAGATTTTTTTAAAGTCTTTTCAGGTACCACTAGAGCCTTTAAACATCCCAGTCTCAGGATTCCCTGTTCTCAACTAGCAAGGAGCAAAACCACATCATATAACTGGAAAATTAGTTCCTCAGTCTGACTATCATTTTATGATCCATTTTGAATTCTTCTTCTATTATCATTCCTGTGGGGTTATTTCTAGCTTGTCTAATCTACAACACCCTCAGTCTGGAACTCACCTGAAACCCCATCCTCTCTATCTCATAAGCCTTTCTTAAAATGCCTTTTCTCCTCAACTTTTGCATCACCTGTTTTCCAAATTTCTTGATTTTTTTTTATTTTATTTGGTGAGATTTTGCTTGCTTATTTTTCCCTTTTGATTTTCCTCATGTCTATTCTTTCCTACATAGGTCAATATGCCAGATATTGCAATGTAACAGAGAAATTCACCTGTACATAAAAATCGAGCCCTAATAAAAAACAGAACATCAATTGTAACCAAGCAAAACAATTTGACATTTTAGCTCTAATTTCAGAAAAGCATCAAAAGTAAACCATAAAAGAACTTGAGTTTCTGTATTTGTTCTTCATATATAACCACTGAATAAAGCTCCAAAGGTTAGAAATTTAAAAAATATATTTTCTAGGGGTGCCTGGGTGGCTCAGTCAGTTAAGTGGCCAATTCTTGATTTCGACTCAAGTCATGTTCTCAGGGTTATGGGATCAGGCACTGCCCTGGGGGCCTCAGGGGTGGCGGGAGTGGGGGAGTCTGCTTGAGATTCTCTCCCTCTCCCTCTGCCCCTCCCCCTGCTTATGCGCTCTTTCTAAAATAAATACATAAATAAATCTTAAATATTTTCTAATAATTGCCAATTGTTAAATGTAGTGAGCTTATTGCTGGTCAGATGCTCACATTTTAGAAAGTTGCCTTTCAAATTATATTAACACATCTCTAGGTTTTAGCCCCAATAAAATTTGCATTTGGGTAAGGCTGAACATTTGCAGATTGGATGACTGATTTTCACATTTATTTGTATATTCAAATATATTTTAAAAAGTTAATCTTGAAATAAGCTAAAAATTATTTAATTTCCTTTATGCATGAATGTTTTTACAAAGCATCCATGGCTTTAATCTGTTCTCAGGCACATAAACAAAGTATGCATATGTATACTCTGAAAAATCATTGCCTTTACTCTAGTGAATATTTGGACTTAAGGAATGTGTATTATTTATTGTTGGAAGTGAAATAAACTTGAGCCATAAACAACATAACATCATGTTGACTGCTGAAATATCATAAATATGCACTACTTCACATTTTGACCCTGGCAGATGTTCTTTTTTTTTTTTTTTTTTTTTAGCTATAAATAAAAGCTTTACTGAATTGTACTTTTCAAAGAATAAGGAAAGACCAGACTGTAAGTTGCAGAGGTTTAGCAACATTCCAGTTTCTCTTATTCAATAGTCAAAATAGGAAGATAGGTAAGAAGGAAGAAAGGGAGAGAAGGAGGGAGGAAAGAAGAAAGCCCTTTATATTTTTCAGAGATAAAAACATTAGCAAGATAGAGAAATATAAATCTATTTTTCATTTCATAAAAATTGGCAAGGGAAGCAACTGGTTTCCTTAAGTTAACCACCATAGACTGGGAAAAATACAGAAAACAATGTTGGATCAAGAAATCCATATAACGACATTGTTTTGATTAAATAATTTATGAAGCCAGAATACTTCAAAATCACTTTAAGCTCACTCTGTCACATTATAGTGCAAAAAAGAAAAAAAAAAAAAGATTCCAAATACTTAGACCTTAGAAATTCACCTCTTCTTTTATGATACTTCAATTTGTCTCTAATCATATTGAGTAGTATGAAATGGTCAAAGACATTTTTCAATGATCATATTATGATTTTTAAGAATGGTGACTTAAAGTATCAAAAAAGAAAACAAGCTAATATGGTATCAGAATTCCTGAATAATGGCAAATCGCTTTAAGGGCTTATAGGTCCTTTCTGAACCAAAATACATGGTAATACAATCTATCCCTATTTTTAGCAGATATTCTTTTTTCTCAGAAGCTCTACATTAAACATTTCATATGGAACAATGTTATGGTGGAGTTTATTCTTAGTTTCCCATACGATAAAAATTCTAATAATATGTTGGAAAAGTTATACACTAAGAATAGGTTTGAATTGGGATTTCCAAAGAATAATATCTTTTAAAGTTTTCTTTTGGAATGTAGCTACTTGCCATATCAAAGTTGAACATGCACCCAAATCATCACCAAGTTAAAAATCAATGCACATTGTTTAGTTTCTGCTTGAGGTAGAGTAGGATATGTGTGTTGTTTGAATTACAAATTACATTACATGGTTTGGTAGGCCTTGCAATATTTTCATGACATAAACTATTAAATCCATATATTTTGTTAGCGTGTTTCAAATCTCCTTTAACTTCAAAGTAACTGTCTAAAGGTAATGATGTCTTCTGTCAAGTAATCTTTCTTTTGCATTTGTCCAGTAGCCAGAGATACCATTCCATTTACTTCTTGCAGTTTTCATATTACAGTTGTAAGTATGTATTAGAGAGAAAAGGGCTAAATGAATCCTGGGCAAATTCTGAAGATGACATTTATCATACATTATCTATGCCTGCTTTCCCATCTGAATCAATCTGGTGTCTATGGTTGCAGGAACAATCCACCCCACCCCCCTGCCCAAGTACACGTTCACAATGATGGGAACAACCATGATTGTTCTTTTCACAGCTATTGACAATTTCCAATACAAACCCTTTCCAAAACAAACAAAAGAGAGTTATTAGCATAACAACAGAGAAACCTGAATATCTGTCAATAATGGGTACATTCTCTGTTAAGAGGATGACAAACTTCATTGGAAATTTATCAACACTCTACACATATAAAAATAAAAGTTTAAGAGCTATTAGTCATTGTAAATGACTATACCATATAGAAATACTAATAAACTTGTAAATAATGTTAAATTGATGAAGTGATACAGAAAAGTAATGAATCCACCAGTGGTTATTACACTCTTGTTAAAAGACAGTTACCTCTGGGAATTCATAGTGTTTCTAGGATATTAAAAAATATGCATATTGAATCAATGATCAGAACGCAAATAGGTTGTATGCCAATTGACACATCTGTTCTCCAGCTAATGGTATGTTATTATCTGTCCTTTTTAGAGGCTATAAGTACATGAAAATACTGTTAAAAATAGCTTTAGAACAAAAGCGGGAACACAAAAGCAATGATCATATGTAACTAGTATCATGCTGATGTGCTAATCAGCTTTGATGCCCATGAGCATCACTTACTATATAAACATACGATTACTTTGAAAAACAATTTGCTGATCCCAATACATGCTACTAATTGGAACCATTTGGGGGGACTTAGGTCTCATCATATGGATACCAATTTTCCTGAGCATATAGGCACTATAATCCATTATATTCTTATGAGGAAATGAGAAATAAAGAATGCATCGAATCAATGTTAAAATACGGAATTTGGGGGTTGCCTGGGTGGCCCAGTTGGTTGAGCATCCAACTCTTGATTTCAGCTCAGGTAATGATCTCAGAGTTGTGAGATCAGTGCCGGCATCGGGCTCTGCGCTCTCAGTACAGAGTCTGCTTGTCCCTTTCCCTCTGCTCTTCCCCCTGCTCTCTGTCTTCTCAAATAAATAAATAAAATCTTTAAAAAATATGGAATTTGGGTACTCTGCTATTTTCACCATTGACCACTATTGTTCTTCATTTGTGTTGCTTGGACAAACCTCCTCTTAATGAGAGTGTCCACACTGGTTCTTTCCTTACATTCTTAACACCTGAAGAAGAGAGACAGGAAAGAACAGGGTGAGGGTGCTTATGACTGTGGCACTTCTTGAAGGTCTATACTACCATTCAAACTGCCTAGATATCTGCCATAGTTCCTGTACAGTAATAGCACAGACCCTCCCTGATCCCCAGCCTCTACTCTACAGTAGGCAGCTGTCTTATGTGCTCCCAGAGCATACAGGGCCCATCCCTGTCATTGTGCTCCTCCTCCTGTGCCGTCATCATCTTGCATTACTGAACTCATAACAGATGTTCTAAAATGGGTTTTAAGTGATTGAATAAACAAAAGAAGGATTATGCTAATCAACTTATTATTGAAAATAAGAACCCCTTTGGGTTTAGAAACAGCTACTTTAGCACAGAGGAAAATTAGAAATCTAAAGGAAAGATTGAAATAATGAAGAGAACTGATATTTTTACAATATGTTAACATATACTCTTTAGGGAGACATTTTAAATTTTGGGTCATATTCTTGTTATTTCCTGTGGACAATGTAGTTCTAGGACTGCTGGTGGTAATTTAATTTAAATATAAATTACACTGTTGTAACCTTATTAAAAAATGCATGGGACTAAAAAGTGCATACTTACATCTATAATTGCCCACTAGAAGTAAGCTGAGATTTTGTGTTCTTGATACAGGTGTAAATAATTCTGCAACCATCTTACTTTAAATATATATATACTTTAAAAAAACTTTAAAAAATGATCCTTTTAGTTTCTCGCAGTAGTAATCATTACTACTCAACATATTAAGTATACATTACATATGTATAGAATTTAAGTTCAACTATATACTGGTTGGTAATTTGGGGGTAGGGCTTAACCATGCTGGATCCGTAATCTTCCCATTTCTAATCACAAAATATTAGCAGTTCATTTATAGCACTCCATGAAGATTTAATGTTTATGTTATACAGGGTTTGAGAGCCTCTGAGGAGAAATCATATAAGTCCAAAATATTGTTTTCCTAGGGAAAAGGTAGGACAATCTTTTCCTAGAATGTACTTTTATCTGAAGGACACATAATTCATTCTTAAACATCACAATGTTCTGAAAACACTTACTCCACCTACAGGTTTTGAAACAAACACCAGTTTTCACCAAGAAAGTTTTCTATGTCAGTTAGTAAATATTGAGGTCTGGTGAGAGCTACATAAAGAACTTAGCCAAATATTCACATAAGGGAAATAAATGTAAAAATATACTTCTACCAAATGTATTCAACTCTAGGGCAAATTGCTTTCCCAAGAAAATTCGGCAGAAAGTCTGTACCTCATAAGTCATTAGCAATAATGGCCCCCTCTTTCATGATAACTGAAAATGCACAGTCAGATTGCAAGAGATTTTATTTTAGACACTTGTAAGGTATACTCATCTCCTAAACCCCTGGCTGCATTGAAAAGTCAAAATATTAATAAGAAAGAAAAACCCATCCACATTTCTGCTTGAAAGGACTCCTCAGGGCACTGGGAGAAAAGATTCACTTAGAAGTTGTATCCTAATTAGTAGTTAATTCTTCTCCCCTGCCTTATTTAGTTTGCTCTTTAAAAGACAAATATCAGCATAGCAAAACTGCCTTGTCTTTAAGCAACAGAAATAAACCATCAGGCCTCAAAGCTACATTAACAATCCAAGCATTAAAGAAACATAGAGTTTTATACAACAGAGGAGAATGAAGAATTTAGTGACCTTAAGAATGTCTCTTCATGAGAAAGCTTAGAGAAGAACACACAATTGTTTATTCTATCACTATCATTATTCTTATTCCTTGATTAAATTGATAAGTAGATATACAACATAGACAAACACATGAGACAGTTGAAAGGACAGTGTGTTTGGAGCCTAAAGACCCCAGTTCAAGTCCCAGTGCTGGCACTTACTAATTTTGTGTCATTGAGTTTTTGTCTTTGGCATTGAATTTATAATTCCCTAAGGTGTGAACTAGGAAGAGCAACTTTGGAACTGAAACAGGAAATCAGCAATTCTGTTTGGGGCCTGCCAAGTTTGTAATGTCTATCAGTCAAGCAAATGGAGACGTTGAGTACATATTTTGATATATTCACGTGTAGTTAAAGGAACAAGAGAAATTAAATATAAGTTGGACATTGAGAGGGGGGCAGGGATAGAGAGGAAAACCAGGAAAATGTGAAAACATGAATGAGAAGGAAAGTGTTTCAAGAAAAACAGGGGTTAATTCACTGTGTTGAATGCTGCTGAGAGGTTACCTAAGATAAAAACCAGAGATGTTGATAAGCTGTCTGGCAACAGGGAAGTTACCTGTGATTATGGTTGGGTAGAGATGGAGATCTGATTAGTCAGGGACAATGAGAGAGTGCAAGATGAGGAGGGAACAATGAGTAAGTAATGAAAAATTTTGATGTGAAGGGGATCAGATTGAAACTGCAATAGGGAGTGGGCTCATGGGAGGGTACCTTAAAGATAGGAGATACTGGACCAAGTTGACATGCTCATGAGAATGATCCATTAAATAACTGCAATCAATAGCAAAGATATTGAGACAGCAAGAGAGAATGGAATCTGAAGTACAGTAGAGAAGATGGCCTTTGGTAGTCCTAGGACCATGTCCTTTATATTAACAGTGGTGAAATCTTTTTCATGAGATTCTATGGGGGTATTTTCAGTCAATTGACTGACTGACTACCAGTACTACTTGACTGGTAGTTTGCATCCTCTTCCTTGATGATGTATGAAACAAGGTGAGAATAAAGGCAAAAGGGAGGAGGTATAAAAACTTGGAAGAAAAAGAGAAGGTGTAAGCATTCATTTTGTTGAGGATGGAAATAGACCTATTCTGATAGTATAGATTGGTCCAGTCATGCTGCATAATCATTTCAAATTTATGGTCCTGAATTTAAAGTAAAACTAGTTAACATGGTTGTGTTTGAACACAACAATTTGCCTCTAAGGTATAAACATGAAGTAGAGAAAGAAGGTAAGAAGTCACTAAGAGAAAGGTAGGGTCTAAAGATGAAATAAAATGTGTTGTTGACATACCATGGTTACATGAGAAGCAGAAATGGAGAAATCAGCCAAAGAAATAAGAAAAAATAAATATTCTGTCATTTGAAAACAGAGGGAAGAAGAAGCATTTGGGAAAGACTGAAGTTGAGAACATAAAATTGGAGGGAATTTGTATCAGACAGTTTTAAACTTAGTAAAGCATGGAGTGTATTATTTATCTAAAGTTTAAGCAGTGGACCAGTGGAAAAGACATGAAAACAAAATAGCTGTAATAGTTATTAATAGCAGCTAATAATTCAGCATAGTAAAATTTTTTTTAAAAGATTTTATTTATTTATTTGACAGAGAGAGAAATCACAAGTAGGCAGAGAGGCAGGCAGAGAGAGAAGGGGAAGCAGGCTCGCCGCTGAGCAGAGAGCCCGATGCGGGGCTCGATCCCAGGACCCTGGGATCATGACCTGAGCCCAAGGCAGAGGCTTTTTTTTGGGGGGGGGGGTGATGTTGTTTCAGTTTTTTTTTTTTTAATTTTATTTTTTTATAAACATATATTTTTATCCCCAGGGGTACAGGTCTGTGAATCGCCAGGTTTACACACTTCATAGCACTCACCATAGCACATACCCTCCCCATTGTCCATAACCCCACCCCCCCTCCCAACCCCCTCCCCCCATCAACCCTCAGTTTTTGTGAGATTAAGAGTCACTTATGGTTTGTCTCTCTCCCAATCCCTTCTTGTTTCATTTACTCTTCTCCTACCCCCTTAACCCCCCATGTTGCATCTCCTCTCCCTCATATCAGCGAGATCATATGATAGTTGTCTTTCTCCAATTGACTTATTTCGCTAAGCATGATACCCTCTAGTTCCATCCACGTCATCGCAAATGGCAAGATTTCATTTCTTTTGATGGTTGCATAGTATTCCATTGTGTATATATACCACATCTTCTTTATCCATTCATCTGTTGATGGACATCTAGGTTCTTTCCATAGTTTGGCTATTGTAGACATTGCTGCTATAAACATTCGGGTGCACGTGCCCCTTTGGATCACTACGTTTGTATCTTTAGGGTAAATACCCAGCAGTGCAATTGCTGGGTCATAGGGTAGTTCTATTTTCAACATTTTGAGGCACCTCCATGCTGTTTTCCAGAGTGGTTGCACCAGCTTGCACGACCCATTCATTCTTTAGAAGGATGCTGTTTAATCTCAATGTATTTGGGTTCTTTCCAAATTTCCTCTTGTGATTGAGTTCTAGCTTCAGAGCATTGTGGTCTGAAAATATGCAGGGAATGATCCCAATCTTTTGATACCGGTTGAGACCTGATTTAGGACCGAGGATGTGATCTATTCTGGAGAATGTTCCATGTGCACTAGAGAAGAATGTGTATTCTGTTGCTTTGGGATGAAATGTTCTGAATATATCTGTGATGTCCATCTGGTCCAGTGTGTCACTTAAGGCCTTTATTTCCTTGTTGATCTTTTGCTTGGATGATCTGTCCATTTCAGTGAGGGGAGTGTTAAAGTCCCCTACTATTATTGTATCATTGTTGATGTGTTTCTTCGATTTTGTTATTAATTGGTTTATATAGTTGGCTGCTCCCACGTTAGGGGCATAGATATTTAAAATTGTTAGATCTTCTTGTTGGACAGATCCTTTGAGTATGATATAGTGTCCTTCCTCATCTCTTATTATAGTCTTTGGCTTAAAATATAATTGATCTGATATAAGGATTGCCACTCCTGCTTTCTTCTGATGTCCATTAGCATGGTAAATTCTTTTCCACCCCTTCACCTTAAATCTGGAGGTGTCTTCGGGTTTAAAATGAGTTTCTTGTAGGCAACATATAGATGGGTTTTGTTTTTTTATCCGTTCTGATACCCTGTGTCTTTTGATTGGGGCATTTAGCCCATTAACATTCAGGGTGACTATTGAGAGATATGAATTTAGTTCCATTGTATTGCAAGGCAGAGGCTTTAACCCACTGAGCCACCCAGGCGCCCCTCAGCATAGTAAAATTTTAATGTATTTATATATTATTATATTTTTAATATATTTATATATTATTACATATTTAATATATTTATATTTAATATAGTTATAAAATTTAATATATATAGCTCTTTTTATAAGAGATATATTAAATTGCATAACTGAGGCTAGGTGAGGAAAGACTAAGGTTAGATGACAAGGATCATTTTGTTTTGAGAAAAAAGAAGGAAAGGGGTAGAGGGATGAGCCAGTGAAAGGGAATGCAATGAGAAGAGGCATGCTGGAAATGAACAGAAATGGGAAAGGGAGAAGGGCTTACAGGAAATGTATGCATTAGAGTATCCAATGTGTCAGGCGTGGTACTACAAGACTCCTTGAGTTTTACACTGGAGCTATTAGTGTTCAATAAATATTGCACATCAGAGGTGATGAAGGTAGGCAGACTCTTCACAAAGGATAGCCATGGGTCCAAAAGAGCCCCAAGTCACAAGACCTGAGACAGTCCTTGCTATCTACATTGTGGTTTATTATACCGAACATTTTCTATCAACTCTGGGCCCTTGTTTCCTCAAACTACAATAAGGGTGTTAGACTTCTAAGATCCCACTCTTTTTTTTTTCCCCCCACAAGCTTACTGGACCTGTTTATTCTTTTTTTTTTTAATTTAATTTTATTTTTTCAGTGTTCCAAGATTCATTGTTTATGCAACACACCCAGTACTCCACGCAATATGTGCCCTCCTTAATACCCATCACCACTCACCCATACCCCTCATCCCCCTCCCCTCCAAAACCCTCAGTTTGTTTCCCAGAGTCCACAGTCTCTCATGGTTTGTCTCCCCCTCCAATTTCCCCCAACTCCCTTCTCCTCTCCTTCTCCCAATGTCCTCCGTGTTTATTCCTTATGCTCCACAAGTAAGTGAAACCATATAATAATTGACTCTCTAAGATCCCACTCTTACCCCACCCCCAGTGGAAAACATTCTCAGGAGCTTCTGCTTTGATAACTTATTCAATATGGTTCTTTTTTTTTATTATTCTTGTTTAATACTTATAAAATGCTACACATTTTGTGGGCTTCTTTTGCTGCCACTTACTGGAACTCTGCTTTCCATCAGCTTCCAGCTCAAAGCCAGGGTGGAAGGCACAAATGAAAGAACCCATTGTGTTCCCACAGCTATGGCTGCAGGGAGCCAACCCTTCAGCAGGCTTATTCATATCTGTAGATAAAAGATATACAGCAGCTATGTCTTCAGAGCTCAAATTAAGATTTATCTGTAAACTATAAAAATTATCTGAAGTATTCTCTTTCTTTCAACCCTAGACATCAAACATAACAGTAAAATATCACATAGGTGCCATATTTGCAAGTAAACTAACTGCTAATGATATCAATTTAAATGTTGGTCTAATGCTCTCAAACGCTTCTATCTATGAGAACCTACTAATATTTATTAATTGGGAGAAAGAAAAGGAAATAACTGAAAAATATACTCTATCTTTCCCCTAATAATACAGGTAGAAGTCATTGTAATTTGTCTTTGGAAATATACATCACATTCTCCTTTCCTTTTAAAGATTTATTTATTTATTTATTTATTTGAGAGAAAAGACACATACACACATAAATGGAAGGAGGGGTAAAGGGAGAGAATCTTTAAGCAGACTCTCCCTGAGCACAGAGCCCCATGTGGAGCTCCATCTCATGTCCCATGAGATCATCTGAGCTGAAACTAAGAGTTAGACACTGAATCAATTGAGTCCCCCAGGTACCCCAGTCATATATATCACATTCTTAACCAAAAATAGTATCTCCTTGATTTAAGAGAAACAGGACATGTGGACAAGGGAGACTTGGGGTCTTCATGTGTAGCAATCCATGGCGTATGCTCTACCTGAATGCCATGGGGGCAGTGCCATTTAAACAAGAATGCCCTCTCTTTCTCCTGACACTGAGAGCCAGTTCCATTCAGTGCAACTTCTTTCTATAACTCAGGTAGGCTCTGTTCCCTCCCTTCATGTTGCTAGGTCTCAACACCATTTTTCCTGATTCATACTTCCTCCTGTACTATCCTGCGTGTCATCTCCACATGTATCTATATATATGTATATATTTGTCAATTTTCTACAAATATTTGGTAAGATCCTATTCTGTGCCAGAAAAGTTAAGCAAATGCTATGTGAACAGAGGACCAAAGTAGAAATGTTCTCTGTCAGAAAAGTATATGAACACAATCAACAGAAATTTGTATCTTAGTTTTGGTTTAAAGAAAAAAAGAAACAACTGAACAGTAATTTTTAAAAAGATTTTATTTATTTATTTGACAGAGAGAGAGAGTGAGAGAGGGAACACAAGCAGGGGGAGTGGGAGTGGGAGAAGCAGGATTCCTACAGAGCAGGGAGCCTGATGTGGGGCTCCATTCCAGGACCCTGGATCATGACCTAGGCCAAAGGCAGATGCTTAACAACTGAGCCACCCAGGTGCCCCTAAACAGTAATTTTTATATCTAATTCTTTTTCAGTTTTTCAAAGTGTTTATCCATCTCATAAGTCAGGAAATATTTTGGTATTTTCATAATCCAAATAAACTGTTTCTCATTTCATGAAAATGTCATGATAAAAATGAAGGATTCTGTGATTTCTCTGAAGTTAATAAAACAAAGACTGTCCCACAGGAATGATTTCAGTTATTAGCTCTGGTTATGGAGTAATTTGTCACTTTCATCTTTGAATTGAAGTATGTCTGTTTTGCTATTTCTAGGAAAAAGAAATATGTAACCTTGTATTTATAGTTTCTTTCTTTTTGGTTTTAATTATTTCTAACTTCTGAGAACACTCATTTGCACATACTTGCATTTCAAAGGTTATCCCCCACCTTCTGTAGGCTATAATAAAAAAACTCCCTGTGTAGTTATGGAAGATTTTGAATATTAATTCTGGAATTCACTTCATAATGACAAACAGAAAACAAAAGGCTTTAATTCTGAAATTATACCACCCATTTTTTTGGTAACTAAAAATTTCACCGAGTTTTCATAGTTTCACAAAAATACCTTTCAGAACAATCAAATAAGATTATAAATGTTCTTTTTAAAGCATAAATGAAAACACTTTTCTCCTAGCTGTTCTGACTATTCAAAACTGAATTACCACAAAATATCAGTTACACAATTAAGCCATCAGTTTCAACCTCCTACCTCCATAGGCCTTTTTGTCATTAGACAACTGGTACCCTGGGCAACAGACACACCTGGTCACACCATTCTCACTCTGACAGATGTGGGCACATCCATTCCCACCTGTGGAGGGGTCCATCTCTGAAAGCAATTAAACAGTGAAAATTTATAATTCATTAACTTCAGAAAGATACACAAAGTGGAAAGGTGGAGAAGGTAAAGAGGGAACTGGGACCATGGGGTTTCTCATATAAAGATGGTAAGGACTCTGGAAAGTCTTTTCTCACTTTCAGATGGAACTAATTCCACAAAAAATTTCCCATTTTGTGATTTCAACTCCAAAATCTAAACAAATATAAACATGGATCAGAGCCAAAAGAAGAATTACTTTAATTCACTCTTCTCAAAAGCATGGCTTCTGCCCTCTGATACCCGAAGTTCAACAGAGTCAGCATGAACTCTATATATCATACCCTTTTTCATTTTCTCCTTCTCTCTCAACCCTTTCTACTCCTTTGGGCATCCTAAAAGGCAAAAACCTCCTCTGGGTTACTTTTGCTTTTGGATAAACAACCACAGTGTGAGTAGAAGTCAGGCTGAAGCAACATGGGAGAGTCTTAGCCATAGCTGTCATGGAGATGGAAGACAGGTCAGATCTTCCAGGCTGTAACGAACCTTCTGTAGAACCTACAGTATAATGTTGAATAGAAGTGGCATGAACAGACATCCTTTTCTTCTTCCTGATCTTAGGGGAAAGCCTTCAGGATTCACTATTAAGTGTAATGTTAGCTGTGTGTTTTTCACAGGTTCCCTTTATCAGCTTGAGGATGTAGTTTTCTATTTCTAGTTTGTTGAGTTCTTTTATCATAAAAAGATGCTGGATTTTGTCAAGTGTTGTTGTTTTTTTTCCTGCATCTATTGAGATGATCATGTAGTTTTTGTACTTAATTCTATTGATATGGTATATAGTATTAATTGATTTTCAGATGTTGAACTAACCTTGTTTCCCTGAGATAAATCTTACTGGATCATGGTGTATAATCCTTCTATATGTTGTTGGATTTGGTTTCCTAATATTTTGTTTAGGATTTTTACATCTACATTCATAAAATATGTTTGTCTGTGGTTTTCTTCCCTGTGATATGTTTGTCTGGTATTGGTATCAGGGTAATTCTGATTTCATGGAATGAATTGGAAAGTGTTCTCTTCTCTTTTATATTTTTGAAGAGTTTATAAAAAATATGGAATAATTCTTCTAAAATATTTGGTATAATTCACCATTGAAACTATCAGGGCCTGAGCTTTTCTTTTTGGGGAGCTTCAAAATTATTAATTTTATCTCTTTATGTATTATATATCTAACTGGATTTTTTACTTTTTTCAGAATCTAATTGCAGTAGTAATTGTCATTCTAGGAATTTGTTCATTTCATCTAAAGTACGTAATTTGTTGTGATACAGTTGTGTCTACTATTACCTTCTCATTTCTCTCTTTTTTTTTTTTAAATTTTCCTACGGTCAGTAGTGATATTTACTCTTTCACTTTTGATCTTAGTTGTTTGAGTCTTCTCTCTTTTTTCCTTTGCTAATCTAGCCAAAAGTTTGTCAACTGTGTTGACCTTTTTTTAAAAAGGTTTTTAAAAGGTTTTAAAAAGGTTTTTAAAAAGGTTTTAAAGGTTTTGGTTTTATTAATTTTCTTTCTTGTTTCTCTATCATCTACTTCATTAATTTATATACAAATCTTTACCTTCCTTCTTTTTTTACACTTCCATATTCCCTTTCTCCTTATGTTACTTCTTACCAGTATGAGCTTTCTAAGAAACTCTTATATTTGAGTAAGACACACTGCAGAATCAGCGTGTCCCCCAACTTCACACAAAATAAAATTTGATAGACATTTTTGGTTTTGTTTTGTTTTTTTTTTTTTTTTTAAGATTTTATTTATTTATTTGAGAGAGAGACAGTGAGAGAGAGCATGAGCGAGGAGAAGGTCAGAGAGAGAAGCAGACTCCCCATGGAGCTGGGAGCCCGATGCGGGACTCGATCCCAGGACTCCCAGGATCGTGACCTGAGCTGAAGGCAGTCGTCCAACCAACTGAGCCACCCAGGCGTCCCAGGTTTTGTTTTCTTTATTGCATCTGTATGTTTTGTCACAAGTTAAGATACTATGTAGCTACATTAATAACAGAAATTTAATTTATTTAATCTATATCACCCACTACCAACTCTCAGGGCAATGGAATAGATAACTTCTCCGAACTCTGGAAAATGAGGGGTCATTTCCACCAGATACAAAATTACAAAGTAGATTGCAGTGATCTTCGATATGTTCTTCTCATTAGCCACTGTCTCTGGGAACCTCTTTTCTAAATGTACTTTGATCATCTATCGCCCTAGTGCCTTCTTGATGCCCAGGTCTCCAAATAAGAAGGTTTACTCCTCCAGAAATTGACTAGATATAACCTCCCTATAGTAAGCCTTACTGCTATCAGAGGTCCCTTTTGTTTCAGAGACTGATTGTAACTGTAGTCTTAAACCACTTGAATTAAGCATGGAAGAACTATAAAGTAAAACTTCTATAATGTAGAATTTGATAAAACTTACAATTTTATTCTCAACTGCAGAACATAGAAGGACATTTAAAAGTAGCATGTGGGACTCAGGTAATATTTCCAGTCAAATTTATGATTTTTTTTGTGTATAGTACCCTTTTATAGTAGCACTTAAATGGGACCTATTCAAATTCGGCTCATGATCATGAAAGAGTAACCATGATTGGGTTTACCTTCTACCATAAACAACTAAAAAACTAGAGTACAAAAACATGAAACAACTGTAGATATTGGACAATAAACAGCACAAGAATGGGAACCCTGAGTGAAGAGAAAAGAAGTAAGCTAAATTATTGTTTTGGGTTTTGCTAGAGACCATTTCTGGGTTACAGCACAGAAATAGAAACCAAAAGAGAGCTCAATGATCCTGCTAAATTAAAGAGACAAATCAGAGCTCATGATTATCCAGGAAATTAGAATTTGTGGAGTGCTAGAAGGGGCAGACAGCGGTGGGGAAGAGAGTGTTATATAGAGAGAAAAAACAAAAACAAAAACACAAAACACTCCAGAAATCTGTACACTGATCCTCTTGAATCTTTGACTAAATATTATTGCATATCTAGATAGGGTAAATCTCCATGAGGCCAGGCAAGAACAAAGAAGAATTAAGGAAGCTGTAAGCCAAACAATTCCCAAAGCATACAGAGGGCCAGGAATCAGTTCTTAGCAGCCAGAGTGGGGAAATATTGTTTAACATATTGCAGCTTCAGTAAAGATCCCCGAAGGACCATGACTCAATAGTAGAACCAATTTAACCCCAGAGTAAAGTTTATTCTAGATGTACCCTAACATTCAAAACAGCATTTGACAGATCAAACTGATCTGCGAGTAACTTAGCTTGGCGTCCAGAAAGAAAGCACAATACTTTTTAAAGGAGAACAAAAGCTAGCATTCAACAATGTAAAATGAATAATGTCCAAAATCCCAAAAAAAGGTTAATAAACATGTGAAAGTATAGTCAATTATGACCCATATTCAGGAGAAAATTCATTTAATAAAAACAGAAATAATAGAGATGATGAAATCAGCAGATAAGGACATTAAAATAGCACTATAAATAAATTTAATATGCTTCATGATTTAAAGAAAAATATGCATTTAATGAGGAGAACAATAGAAGGCATAAAAAAACTACCAAAGGGAACTTCTAGAGCAGAGAGATACAAAATCTGAAATGGAAAGTTCACTAAATGGTATTATCAGCAGATTACATAATTAGAAAATTATTGAACTAAAAACTTGGCAGTATAAATTATCCAAAATGAAGAGCAGACAGAAAAAAAAGGACTAAGCAATTTAAATAAAGAAGTCTGGTGACCAGTTGAGCAATATTAAGCAGAGGATAGCAAATAATTCAAATTTTGGAAGGAGATTCTCTGTCAAAGAATTAGGAAAAAGACAGTTTAACAAGACAGAAAACTTTCAGAAAATGACTGTCATACTATAGCCAGACACCACAGAAAAAAATAATCCCCACCTATGACACCATTGACTGAAGGGAGAACCTAGACTTTCCCCCTCAACAGGCTGTAATTAGGTATTTCTTTTCCCCTTCCCACTGGGGTGACGTCAGAGGAGGCAAATCATAGAGTCAAGATTTCCACCACAATCTGATAATGAGGCCACCCTATCATGATGTCTATGAAAGCCACGTGGGAAGAGTAAAAAGGCACACCTACACCTCCTGGCCAAGTGGTACCAGTGGAGAGCTAGAGCACAGAGTAAGGAGGCATACATTTCCTACTTGTGAGTCATTAGAAGTCAGGTGGTGGTACACTTGGACTTCTACTCACAGTGAGCAGTAAAAGTGTTTTCCTCCACCCTCTTTCCCCTTCCAGAGTAGTGTCAAAGGAAAGCATCTAAATATAAGGTTTATATAAGATCCAGAGTCTGGTAACATAATATGCAAGACTTCCAAGTTTCAGTAGAAAATTACTCATTATACCAAGAACTAGGAAGATCTCAAAAAGATTGAAAAAATGAATCAATAAATGCCAACACCAAGATTTTAGAGATGTTAGAATTATCTAAGATTTTAAACAAGCCAACTAGAATTATTTTAATGAGCAATTACAAACATGCTTAAAACAAATGAAATATTAGAGTCTCAGCAAAGAAATAGAAAATTTGAAGGATAACCTAATAGAAATTTGAGAACTGAAGAAGACAACAACTGAAAACCTCAATAGAGGGGCACCTGGGTGGCTCAGTGGGTTAAGCCTCTGCCTTCGGCTTAGGTCATGGTCGCAGGGTCCTGGGATTGAGCCCCACATTGGGCTCTCTGCTTGGCAGGAGTCTGCTTCCCCCTCTTTCTGCCTGCCTCTCTGTCTACTTGTGATCTCTCTCTCTCTGTCAAATAAATAAAATCTTTAAAAAAGAGAGAGAGAGAAAGAAAATCTCAATAGATAGGCTAAATATTAGAATGGAGAGGACAGAGAAAAGAATCAGTGAATTGGAAGATAGAGCAATAGAAATTACCCAACTGAACAACAGAAACAATAGACTAGAAAAAAAAATTTTTTTTAAGAGA